ACAACCTTTGACTCCCATCAATTCCGATCAAATTATGCGATTGGTGTGGGGAGTCTCGCCCAGAGCCTCCTTGATGAAGGATTCGACCAAGCGATTTACTTTCCCGGGCGAAACAGTGGAAGTTGATGTGCCAAAAGCGAGTAGGTCTGGGGGCCGAAAGATGATTATAATGACACTCTTGATATTGGCCTTGACTGGAGCTGCTCTCTTTCAAACAGTCCATCCATCACAACTGTCTGGACCAATGACTGCAACCATGATGGTACCAAATGAGGAGATCGAACAAGCAACTCCTGCTTCGCTCGAGCAACCCAAGCCGTCCCTGTTTGCACAACTTCCAGGCAAGAAGAAGAGTCCAAAGGAAGACCTGACCGAAGCGTGGAAGATTGCAAGCTCCTTTTGGAAACAACGTTTCAGTGATTCCAAAGAACAAGTCATCAAGAGTTGGAAAGGTGCTCTTTCGTTTTTCGACCAACAAGTACTTGCCGACCTGGAAGTACACATGTTTGAAGAAACTCACGAGCAGCTATCCTCCTTGAATAAATTCAGGGGAACGAAAACTACCATGCCCAACTTGTTGTTTGGAAAAGAAACCAAGCAGTTGGCCTTTACATCGGTGGAAGACTTTCAGCAGGCCATTGCTGCCAATCGAGGCAATGCCCAGAAAAAGTTGGAGGCCAACAAGGACGAATCTCCAGTTTCCGATTCGATGATGAAAATCTTTGCTGCTGAATCGTTCAGCTGGAACGATAACTAGGCCAATAACAACAGTAGAATAGAGGACACGTAGGCTATATACGGAAAGAAGACATTCATTGTTCTAATAACAGTCCACCAAGCGATCGTCCGCTTTCGTGCAAGGAAACTTTCGATTCATTCATAAAAAAATTTATAGCAACCAATTGCAAAACCTAGGACTACATGCTTACTTCCCAAGTCTACTATACTAGTAATAAATAAAATGAATATATTGAAATCTTGGCTCAATTGCTTCGAGTTACATTCTTCATGGCTTACTTCTAACCAACCATAATCATCAGCTTATTCGGGAACCTTCATAAAGAAAGGAGATGTTGGGTCTACAGTTCGCAAGTCCATTCGGATTCCCTTTCCTTGCGTACTGGTAAGGTGCGCTCGAATCCAGTACTTGACATTCTTTCCCATCTTTTTCTTCTTCTTGCCCTTTCCATAACTCTCCGGCTTTTGGTCTTGGACAGTTTGACAGATAGCCTGCAGGTTGTCCAAAAGTTGCTTGCTGTCAAAGCTACCCTTGCCAACTGGGAAATGCATGATACCAGATGATTCAGTTCGATAGGTAATGGTGTTGGATTGCTCTTCCAACTTTTCCAAAAGAACTGACCCCTCCTCGAAAACAGTATTTGTCTTGGGGTTTGGCATCAATCCTCGAGGTCCTAGCAATCGGGCAGCCTTTTTCTGAACATCGGACAAAATATCCTTGGTACAAAGAGCCCGTTGAAAGGAATCGAGTGGGACTTCACCGGCAATCAGTTTCTCCAAGAGGTCGTCTCCACCCGCTTCATGTCCTGCGGCTTTGGCCTTTTGGGTTACGTCTGCGTCCTTGGAAAGAACCAAACATTGTATTGTCTTTCCAGTTCCATGTGGAAGTACCAGAGACCCCCTCAATGCTTGACCTTGTCGTCTGGGATCTAGATTGAGATTGATCGCCAACTCGACCGTTTCATCTTGATTGCGGTAGGGACCATCGTCCTTCAGACCCTTGGCTTGTCGTTTGGGTGCATTGCGTTCCCACTTTTTGGTCCGCTTTTCCTTTCGTTCTTCAATTCCCTCCAAAACCATTTGCATGGCTTCCGTGACGGTGAATTCTGGAACCGGACGGGGATGGGCTCTGGAAACATAGGTGGCTGCTCGTTGTGCCATCCATGGGAGTTGGGGGTTGGTGGTTCGACTAACTCGGCCGCATAGTGATGATGATGATGCTGATGATGATAATGACGATAATGACGATGATGACTGCAATAGGCGTGCTGCTCTACCGCTAGTGGCAAACATTGGAATATTAATCGTCGATGAGGTGATGAGTATGATCGATTGTTTATTGTTTGTGATTTTTACACCAATAAGAAAATAAGAGCACTAGGGAGTGCTTGTGGATGCGTTGATGTGTTCACTGCCTCAGCTCCAAAGCATGTTTGCGCACTACCGCACGATCCTGGAAGCTGTGGAATTTTTTAAGAATATAGAAAAAAGTATAATTGATGAATATAGATATTGACATGGTTTTATATATTTACAGTTGTCAATAGCTGTAGTGTACAGAAACCGAAGGAGAATTTAGTCTTCCTGGGTTGTTGTTGTTGTTGTGACAGTGAGAGTAATTTATACACCTCGTGTTGCTGTCACAAATAGTAGTAATGTACATGATTTGTTGAAAGCCAACTCTCAAGTTCTTTTGTGTTTGTTTATGCGGCTCGAATAGCAACTGTTTGTTGCGATGGAGCGAGAACTGGTGAGTTGTCTTCGATGATTGGAGCGTTGTTGTTGTTGTTGTTGTTGTCGTTTGTACTGGTAATTGTAGTCTGGACCTTGTTCTTTTGTACAATTTTCTTAAGGCCAGATTCGTGTTGATCTACCAACGCTTGATATTGAGCAATTTTGAGGCTGTTGTGAGTTTCAGCTTCCACAATCGCGCGGAACGCTTCAGGTTCTTCAACCCCTTCCGCTACTTGGCGATCTTGTTCCTCAAGGATGGTAGAGACATGGTTTTGGCGACGGAGAAGGAACTTCTCTCGTCGCTGTTCACTTCGGTAAGGCTCTAGGCCGCGGAAGCAAACGACTTCGGGGTCTAAGGGTGTCTTGTCTCCTGCAACAACTCGTTGCAAGCATTGGACACTTAGGATTCGTTCGAATTGAAACAATTGAAAGTCTTCTTTCTGCAGGTATAAAAACGAGGGAGAAACTTTGTAAGTAATGGTCAAGAGATGCAGTCTATTGCACTTCGGCCTAGTAAAAGGCATCGTGATTGCTTACCGAATACCAAACATTGGCTTTTGAGTCACAGTCAATCTTCTCGAACTCGATGGTTCTTGGAGATTGTTCTGCAAAGATGACATTTCTAGCTATGGATTGCCGTTGTCTCTTTCGGCACCTGAGTGATTCTTCATCGTCGGTGACATTGATTGTATCGATGGATCTCTTGGTGGTTGGTGTCATTAGCATGCACATTTCGCTTTTTTTGGGTGTCCTGGGAGAAAAAGTTGTGTGCGAGGAAAGGAGAAGATTGTCAGAAGCAAAGAAATTGGCTACCACAATGTGGCGGAAAAACCTCCAAAGAAGTTCAAGTATGTCAATGAAAGATCCCACTGTCGAATTATGGACGAACACCTCACCGATCACTCCGTCTTGTTCTACTGGCATCAGGATTGAGAAATTGTTAAATAAACTAGAGGAGCGGAAGTCACATGTTGCGAACTTTTCGGTGTATATTTCGTAATATTGCTTTCAATCATTAGGGAACCGTTCGACAAAGCTGTTTTGGACATGTGACGCAACCGAACTGAATCCTTCACAAAGAATTAGATTTTGTATTACAACTTTTCAAATTCTCCGATTAACGCCACAGGTCCAAGAATCAATCCTTGCTTTCCCCGGTGAGAATCTATTTATTGATTTTGGACAGGCCTTATTCTTTTTCAGAACCGACGGATGTTCCAAATTCGTCTTCTTCTTCTGATCAGATAACAACGCAGTGACGCCAATACGCCAGCTCAGGTGTCTAAAATTTTCGATACATCCATCATTCTGAGTCAGATTTCGTTGCGGTTGAAGATAAGCTTGAAATAGCTTGGTCAGTGCCACGCATGGTCGAGAAATTTAGACGCTTGTGTGCGTGAGTATGTTTTGCAGTCCAATTAACGAAATTTCGGGAGTCACTTGAAGTACATCACTCGAATGTTTGCTGATTCAGCAAACAGTCGAATGAGTCTTTGACACCGCACCGATCAAAAAGAGAAGCTGTCACATGTCTCATGTTCGGTTTTCATTTTCATGATGATTGGCAAGCTTCGGGTTGGATGTGATTTTTGCGTGACGTGTGTTAGAAACGCGCGCACGAATCACGCACCAATGATATTAAAATACCCACCACCGACCACAAGAATGAAGGAGAAGTCCGATGAAGGCGCATTTTCAAATATGTTACGAATGGCGGGAATTCCTAAACCTTCTCAAACAATTTCAAGAAAAACAGCAACAACAACAATTTCAACAACATGTCAACGAATACTAGAAGTAGAACTATCAATGAGACTCGAGATAGACTCAACCATATGAAAGAGCTCGAATGCTCTGCTTACAAACGGCCCTTACGTGTCATAGAACCTTTCAATGGACAATGGAGAAAGTTGATCATCGAATGGATGTTCAGCATTACTCACTATTGTGGCCTTAGACATGGCGCGGTGGCGGCCGCCGTCTACTACTTGGATGCCTCGGTCGAAAAAGGTTTGATCAAAAGTCGACAAGACTATCAAGTAGCGGCCATGACGGCCTTCCATCTAGGTCTGAAAGTGTACGATTCACCTTCCATTCGCATGATACGTTTGGAGAGTCTTGTTAAGCTGGGAAGCGGCGGGTTTGGTGAAAAAGAAGTGCTGGAAATGGAAGGGAAAATGTTGTTTGCCTTGGAATGGCGAATGAACCCACCGACGGCATCTTGCTTTCTCTCCCAATACTTGGACCTGCTACCTACTCACAATATGCAGCCACACGTTCGAACAAAGATTGAACTCACGGCTCTGCGCCTAATTGAAAGAACCATGTCGACTGATTACTTTTCGCTCATGGAATCATCATTACTTGCTCATGCTGCACTATTACTTGCTCTGGACACGATGCCTCCCAACAAATTGGATGTGGAGCTCGTGGGAAACTTTTTTATCGATTTGGCGCAAGTCACATATGTGGAACGGGACAGTCATTCGCTGTGTCGGTCTATTCTACTACTGGATTGTATTGCTAATGGGCAACCCGTTCCATGGCACGAATTGGATGATTGCACTGGAAAGAAGGCAGGACAAACTAAGAGCTGGGAGCAAGCCTATGCTGGACCACAACATTCACCACGTGGATATGACTTGCAATAGATGCTGCACTGTATCATTATTTTATCATCATCATCATCATGATTATTATCATATTTACATTCATAAACAAACAAACCAACTGTAAACCTGTCAATAAACAAGTGTAAATACCTTTTCATACGATGAAGATCTATATATATTAAACATTGCAGTTTGTTTTGTTTTTCGATAAAGTCTACAGCTACCGCTATGCAAAAACGTTTTTATGGAGAAAATTCAAACGCATTCTTGTTGGTGGATGTGGTAGTGGGTGGCCGCGAGTCGTACCGCCGCCCCTGGGCACGCAGATCTCGCAGCAATCCCTTAGCTTGCTCTTTCTCCGGACCAGGATATTCCACCAGTCGGCTGCAAAACAAGGCTGCGGAATCATATTCTTCGTGCATCTTGTGGTACTGCGCCAAAAACACCAAGGCTTCTGCTTCGGGAGCTTCCACCACGACACCATGTACAATGTCGTCCAAGGTTGGCTGTTCTGCTGGATTTGGATTGGTGACCATATAACGCAACTCCAAATGTCGGACATAGCATTGGGCCGCTTCTTCTTCTCTTCCTTCTTGTCGGTACAAGGTCGCCAATTTCTGTGTGGCAATTCCTTCCGTATCTTCTTGTGCCACCGCTCGTTCATATGCCCGAATGGCATCGGGAATCTTGTACAGTGCCACAAAGCAAAGGCCTACTGCACACCACATGCGAGCATCATACGGGCGGAGCATGGCTGCCTTGCGGTAATAGAACAAGGCGTACAGATGCATATTGAGGAATTCATAGGTTTGACCCAATCCATACCAAGCTCGGTAATCCTTTGGGCTGACAGTGACCGCTCGTCGATAGGCTTCCATGGCGGACTCAGTTTGTTTCAATTCCACATATTCGTGTCCCATCAAAGTCCAAGCACTCGTATACGATCGATCCAATTTTAGTGCTCGTTGAAAGTAAAGGACTGCCTTTTGCCGTTGCTGTCGAAGCGAATAGTAGTTTCCAATGATACAGCAAGTCTCGGGCCGATACTTGTCAATGACAGTGGCTTGATGGGCCAACTGTGAGAGCCGAACACGGTCTTCCTTCACATACAAAATATTCGAGTAGACGTCCTTTTGTTCCAGTGAAAATGGATCCTTTATTTGTTCAAACCATGCCAGTGCTTGTTCAAATTCCCGCATGTGGTAGTGTACCACTCCCAATTGTGCCTTGAGGTGAGAACTCTGAAAGAGCGGTTGATCCGGCAAGGGTTCCGCCAGTCGTTCGTACAAGACCAAGGCATCTTCATGAGCTTGATGATGATGCGCCATGAGATGGGCACAAAAGAAATGATACATGTAATGAGTCGCCAAGGTAGGCTGTAGGGTTTGTTCGACTTCTTGTTCAATGTTGCCATCTTGAGCCACTACGACTTCGCACAGGTCCAACCAAGCACTCCAATTCTGTGGAAATTGCAAAATGGATTCCAGTAAAATAACATGTGGTGGATGCGGGCAAGGAAGTGTCGACTTTTGTGCCTCCTTCAAGACCAAACCGTAAACATACAAGCCAAAGATATCAAGCTTTTCGTCCCTATAGAATGCGGATAGTTCTTCCAAGAGTTGTGGCAGATATGGATTTCGGCCTGGTTTGACATTTTGTGCCTCGCTGAAAAAACAAAGGAAAGGATGTGTGAGACGAAGACATGAAATAGTGGTGACTATATTCGTTGCACTAGTCATTTTACAATTGCTGAAACTTTTCGGCTGCTTCCCGCTTGCATGTAGAGACAACACCCCTACTTGCAGCTTTTTGTTCTTTTTTTCTTTCTCACCTCTTGAGTTGCAAAAATTCTTCTTCCTTTCGTCGTTCTCCCGCCAAATATAAACAATAGGATCGCAAATAGATTCCAAAAGACGATATTGACTCCAATGGAGGCATCATCTGAGACGCTTCCGTGGTGGGTTCACTCAATGCCGCAGACGCGTGCAAGTATTCTCCCATATCCATGAGCGACTTGGCATACCAATCTTGTTCGGTCAATTGGGACCATTCTTGTGCCACCAAATTTTGTGGCTGTTGCTGTTGAAACAACAATTCCAATCGCCCTGGGTTGCCCATAGGAATCCCCACCATTTGTTCGGCCGCCCATTTGGCTGCCAGTTTGAGTCCTCGATGCGAAAGGATGGAAGTTGCCTGCAAGAGTTCGGCTCGAATCAAACTTGGATCCCAGTGGACTTCCATTTCAATGACACTTCTGTCAGCGGATGCTAACGAAGAAGCAGCTGGAGAAAAGAGCATGCTGTAAGAAGGAGGATCCTGGTGTGGGACGGATGTGGCAACCACCGGAGACATTGTGATTTATTGTGTGTTTGGCTTGTATTTGTGCGCTGTTGGGTATATGTGTGTATGTTCTATGCTCTATTGTCGGTATTTGGTGTTCTATCTTGGTTGTTGTTGTGTGTGAATACCTCGTTTTACTCAGATAGAGGATGGGATGAAAGTGCTTGAATTCTCAATGATGGTAATTGCCTTGTGTGTGTGTGTGTGTGTGTGTGTCATTGTCGGAGTTTTTGAAAATGACAACGCTGTTGGCGCACAGAAGGTACAGATACAGTCCTTTTTATACAGACCAAGGATGGTACACTTCATTTACTCGGAATGAATGAAGCCTGTGAGTACCATTACCAGGTATACCGACGAACCTACAGTCAGTATTATACTGGTACGAACCAGGCACCACTAAAAGTAGGAACGCACTTTTTTAGGATGAGGAGATTGGTGCCAACACCCATGATGGCACCAATAATATTTCCGAGGAAGATGATATTTTCATAACCCAAGTATGGCAAATTTTCAAGAACTTCGCTCGTGTTGCTTTCAATAATATATGGGAGCTTGACCTTAGATTCAGAAAAAGACTAGTATCTTGTATATATTGTATTTGTGTTTTATTTATGTCTTCTTGGTACAACTTCGTTTCCGAAACACCAGTGCTCCTGAATACCAAAGATAGACAGTACTTCCCAATATTTCTCGCCGTGTGCTGTTGTCTTCTTGTTGTTGCTGGTGGCCGTTTTGCAGTGTCAATCGAGAACCAGATGTGTATGTGCATACACTGTACTGTACTTTACAATGAGTTTTGACTTGGTTGTATCATTCCAAACCTTAATCCAAAAAGTCAACATCTCCCAGTCCTCCAGCATTCAATACGTTGGTGTATCCTTCAGCTTCCAAGCCAGCCTTGACCTTGGCTGCTCGACCTCCCATTTTGCAAAACACAATAATGGGAGCTGACTTGCTTGGCAAAATTTGGTGTACATGTTCCATTTCACCTCGTAGAATAAAGTTTCCGTGGACAAAGGGTTTATCGAGAGAAGCTTCGGCGATCTCTTCGTGGCCCCTGGCGTCCACAAAGACAACGCCCTTGAGTTTGGCCATCTTGGCCAA